TGCTTGAAGTTTTAGCAATAGCAATAAGACAGCATAAGGAGATCAAGGGGATTCGAATCAGAAAGGAAGAAGTCAAACTTTTCGTTATTTGCAGATGATATGATAGTGTACATAAGCGACCCCAAAAACTCTACCAAAGAACTCCTACAGCTGATAAACACCTTTAGTAACGTGGCAGGATACAAGATCAACTCCAAAAACTCAGTTGTCCTTCTATACACAAAGGATAAAGAAGCAGAGAAGGAAATCAGAGAAGCATCATCTTTCACGATAGCCACAAATAGCATAAAATATCTTGGGGTAACTCTAACCAAGGAAGTGAAAGATCTATTTGACAAGAACTTTAAATCTTTGAAGAAAGAAATTGAAGAGGATACCAGAAAATGGAAGGATCTCCCTTGCTCTTGGATTGGGAGGATCAACATAGTAAAAATGGCAATTTTACCAAAAGCAATCTATAGATTCAATGCAATCCCCATCAAAATCCCAACAAAATTCTTCACAGACCTTGAGAGAACAATAATCAGCTTTATATGGAAAAACAACAAACCCAGGATAGCCAAAACAATCTTATACAATAAAGGAACGTCTGGAGGCATTACCATCCCTGACTTCAAACTCTTATTACAGAGCTACAGTAATGAAAACAGCTTGGTATTGGCACAAAAACAGAGATGTTGACCAATGGAATCGAATAGAAGACCCGGATTTTAACCCACAAACCTATGAACACCTGATTTTCGACAAAGGAGCTAAAAGTATACAATGAAAGAAAGAAAGCATCTTCAACAAATGATGCTCGCATAACTGGATGTCAACCTGTAAAAGAATGGAAACAGATCCATATCTATCACCATGCACAAAACTCAAGTCCAAATGAATTAAAGACCTCAATATCAATTTGAACACACTGAACCTGATAGAAGAGAAAGTGGAAAGTACTCTACAACACATGGGCACAGGAGACCACTTTCTACCTGTAACCCCAGTAGCACAGACAATAAGGACAACATTGAATAAACGGGACTTCCTAAAACTGAGAAGCTTTTGTAAAGCAAAGGACACTGTCACTAAGACAAAAAGGCAACCTACTGACTGGGAGAAAATCTTCACCAACCCCGCAACAGACAAAGGTCTGATTTCCAAAATATATAAAGAACTCTAGAAACTAGACCTTAAAATGCTAATTAACCCAATTAAAAAAAATTGGGCACTGAACTGAACAGAGAATTCTCAACAGAAGAAGTTCAAATGGCCAAAAGACACTTAAGGTCATGCTCAACCTCCTTAGCGATCAGGGAAGTGCAAATCAAAACAACTTTGTGATACCATCTTACACCTATCAGAATGGCTAAAATCAGAAACACCAATGATAGCCTTTGCTGGAGAGGATGTGGAGTAAGGGGAACACTCATCCATTGCTGGTGGGAATGCAAACTTGTGCAACCACTTTGGAAAGCAGTGTTTCGGTTTCTCAGGAAATTCGGGATCAGCCTACCCCAGGATCCCTCAATACCACTCTTGGGAATATACCCAAGAGATGCTCTATCATACTACAAAAGGATCTATTCAGCTATGTTCATAGCAGCATTATTTGTAATCTGGAAACAACCTAGATGTCCCTCAATGGAAGAATGGATGAAGAAAGTATGGAATATGTACGCATTAGAGTAGTACTCAGCGGTAAAAAATAATGACATCCTGATTCCATTTCTTAAAAGCTAAGTAAGTCCACCCACTGGGGTACATGCACATCATGTTTACAGCTTCTGAAGCACAGTTCCAGTGTTTCCTTTATATGCACACCCTTCCTCTCAGCCTTATACCTTGTTACTTACTATGAAGAACAGTAAACTAAGTGTACCCCCAGATTTTTGGCGCCTGAATGAGTTCCCAAAAAGTCATTTTATAGACGTTATTGTCTAGCACTTTACATATTATACACAGACAGAGAGTTGCTAGCAGAATGAGATTTCTTTCTCTCTTTTATAGGGAAAGCTGAAGAGAGCAGGCATCATAAAGAAGTAACATCTGACTTCTTGGTATCTCCCTAAAGCTGTAGGCCCTGTACTTACTGTTGGCTTTTTAAGTTACTACTTCAGGTTCTAGTCATGGCAGAGATTGATCTAACATAAAAAGGATCAGCTGCTTTCGTTTTAAAATCCCATTGTTAGTGTTTCATGGTCAGATAAACAAGCCACTTAGTTTTATTTTTTTCTTATGCTAGCTAGTTTCCTGTTCCTGAGATTAATGTCTGTGTTAACTTGAGTGTGAATCGGACTGCTGTGAGAGAAACTTCAAATACACAGCATTAGTTATATAAAGCTCATTTTATCTTATGCAGTATGAAAATTTTCTTTTTCCCTGCCCCCTTTCTATCGCCCCCACTTTCTCTCGCCCCTCTTTTCTATCTCTCCCACTCTCCCTCTCCAGTGCCACGGTATTCAGAGGACAACTTTCGGGGTCTTTTTTTTTTTTTTGTGTTTCACCTTTATGTGGGTTCTGGGATTGAATGCAGGTTAGTAGGCTTGTATACCAAGGCTTTTAGCCCCCAAGATATCTCACCTGACTCCATTTAGTATTTTGATCATGAAAGGTTGTGTTGAGACTTCGTTACTCTCTGTGGTTGCTTATGAACCCAGATTTCTTCCATTTTTTTTTTTTTCTGTGCCATATCTTGGAGTGTTGCTCTCATTGGCAACTTTGTCTTGAGTTAGTTGTTAGGTCTGTTTTAGTCCATAGGAAAGAGAAACAATTTTTTTTTTTTTTAGCTTTATACAATGGAAAAATGGCACAGTTGTTTCCAGTCTTGCGACTTGCTAAGTAACTACCATGCTTGGTTGTGGAGGCCTCTGGTTTATCCAGTACCCACTTTGCATATTGATTTATTAATTTTTTACAGAACTTTGTGCATTATCATGTACATTTTTCAAGTTCTTTACATACTTTGAGGCTATATACTTAATAGGGGTGTGTGCATGTATTTTCTCTCATTTGTGATGTAATCATCTAATCATGGGTTAATTTATCGGATAGAAATTTATAATTGTAATTGCATTTTTAGTCTTTTTATATATTTGATATAAATATATACTTTGTTGATTTGATGCTGGGTATTTTACATGAAAATTGTAGGATACACATGATACCTTGATTAATAAGCCTCATCAAAACAATGATAATTTTTTTCTCATACCCATTATTAAAAAGGCACAGTGCTGTTTTCATGATGAAAACCCAAACTTGTTGCTTCATGACACCAGTTTTATTAGATAGAACTTAAATGTACTTTTAATAACTAATAGTTTTCAGAATTACTCATTTTTTTTCTCTCCCAAATGCTTTCCTAAAGTTCATGTTGACTTTAGGTGATCATCATAAAAAATAGGAAAATAAAATTGAAATACTGGTATGAGAGGTGAGAGTTGACGTTTCAAGTAAAATTTATTGTTCAAACTGCTAAGACAGTCATATCTAGTGTGCCATAAAGTATGGTCTGGGATATTGGTGTGGAGCTAGTGCTGTATATGTAGGCTTAAAGGTTATTAAGCCCAGAGGAGATTGTTGAAACCTGGATAATAATTAAGTTCTTCAGGCAGAGGGTTGTATTTGCATTTGGGAGCGGAAAAAAAATCATCTGAAAAGAAAGTAGACTATTAAATATTTTATTCAGTTTTGGCTTTCTTTCTTCCTTTCTTCCATTCCTTCCTTCCTCTGTGCCTCCCTCCCTCCTTCATTTCTCTCTTCCTTTTTTCTCTTTCTCTCCCTGTCTCTTAGACATTTTATTAATTTATGTTTCCCTCCCGTATCTTTCAGCCCCTCCCTTTCTTTTTGTATTAAGTTTATAGTCCAGGCTTTTTTGAAACTCACTGTAAATCATAGGGTGTCTTAGAACTCACCATTCTCTTGTCTTAGTCTCTCAAGAGTTGTGCTTTACCAGCACATGACACCTTATGTGACTCAACTATTTGATCTTCATGCACAGTTTCATGAAGCATATGGAGAAGCATAGTTTGACAGGTGAATAAAAGAGAGATGCCCTTCATATAATATTTAAATAGCCACGAGCTGGTCAAATTGTTTCTTGAGATATAGTCTACATGTTTGTTTGTTCAGAGACTGTGTAGAAAGGTCTAAACAAATTTCCAATTAGAAAACAAGGATTTATTGAAGAATGTAAATTGTGTCAGGAACGTTGGCAGAGGAGGAGTGTCTCTTCATTCTGGTAATGAAAGACAGTGGATATATTTTTATTTAAAGAGAAGAGTATTGGGATAGAGGTGTGTTAAAAGCCTTATAGGAGCTGGAGAGATAGCTCAGTGGTTAAGAGTACTTGTTGCTCTCGTAGAACCTGAGTTTCATTCCTAGCACCTATATAATGGGTAATAACCATCTATAACTGTAGTCTTGGGGATCCAGCTCTCTTTTCCAGCCTCCAAAGGTACTGAATGTGTATGGTACACATACATTTATGCAGGCAAAACACCTGTACACATTTAAAAGTCTTACAGTAATTAGACTGCCTACTGAAAAGTATGTGTAAGGTTTCTGAAGTTACAGCCCTGAGGAGAATTTTAAAGGGCAGCAGAACAGTCTCTTTAAGAATTTAGCTTTTAGAATGGCAAGTGGCCATGATGCACAGTTATTGTTTCAAATTATAGTCTCAATTTATAAAATGTGAATAAACTTAAGAAATGAACTACACTGAAATACATTTAATTTATAGATCAAGTGTTAAAATCTTGAAAATATTCCAAACAGTTGTTTTTAGTGTGAAACTTAAGTTGTACTGTGGGCTTAAGGCAAAGTGAACCAAGGTTTAAATTATGTTGCTGATTATTTTTCGGTAGCAAACTTACAATAACTGTGTATATAGACTTTCCTATTTGTGAAGTGGTGTCGTTTATTTTATTCTTTTCCCATTTCTGTTTATGATTTGTAGTTAAGTTCTTCAGTGACTAAACACAAAATGACTCTATATTTTCTTGTTTACTGTGAAGCAGAAATCAAAGAACAGTCTGTGGAAGAGGACGCTGAAGCAGAAGTGGATAGCAACAAACAGCCAGTCTCAGCTGTTCAGCGATCTGTGACTGAGGAATCTTCAAACTCCCTGGTCTCTGTTGGTGTAGAAGCCAAAATCAGGTTAGACAATGATGGGAACTGAGATGGCTGACCGGGAAAAGGTGGTAGATTGACTGTAGAGATAATGGGGAGAGACAGGACTCAGGATCTGGATGGGGTTTATCATTTTAGTAGTTTTAAGTTTGACACCCCTGTGGTGTAGTTGGTATAGAAGTTGGCTCTGCTATGGACTGTTGTGATTGGAAACCAGAGAGTATACTAGATGGTGCTCTAGCCATTCTAGATAATTTTTTAAAAGTTTTTTGAGACTGTGTGTGTGTGTGTGTGTGTGTGTGTGTGTGTGTGTGTATGTATGTATGTATAGATAGATAGATAGATAGATAGATAGATCGATCGATCGATCAGACTTTTCTGTCTTGGAACTGACTTTGGAGACCAGGTTGACCTCGAACTCACAGAGATCCACCTACCTCTCACAATATACAATATATGTATTATGTGATTTTACTCTTTTTTTTGGGCTTTTTTGAGGGGATCACCACCACCTAGCTCCCAAAAAAAGCACACAGAGAGGCTTATTCTTAGTTATGAATGCCCGGCCTTAGCTTGGCTTGTTTCTAGCCAACTTGTCTTATCTTATGTTATCCCAACCTCCTTTTGCCTCTGGTCTTTATATTCTGTATATTTTACTTTCCTTCTTATTCCATGGCTGGCTGGGTGACTGGCCCCTGATATCCTCCTCTCCTTGTTCTCTTCTTGCTCCTCATTTTTCCTTCTAAAATTTATACACCGCCTGCCAGCCTCGCCTATTCTTGCTCCTACCTCGCTATTGGCCGTTCATCTCTTTATTAGGACCATCAGGTGTTTTAGACAGGCACAGTAACACAGCTTCACAAATGCAGCATAAACAAAAGTCATACACTGGAAAATAAAGTTCGCACACACACACACACACACACACACACACACACACTTGTTCTTACCACCTCTTCATTCTTTAAGAAGCACCCCTCTCCACACATAATAAATTGTAACAACAAATTAAAAGAAAAAAATGTTACTAAAGATTTGTACACATGTCCTCCTGCACAGAAAACAAACAAACAAACAAATAAATAAATTGAAGTAATGCTAAAAGTGGGGCTTTGTGTTTTTTTTTTTTTTTTGTTTGTTTGTTTTTGGTTTTGGTTTTTAGAGACAGGGTTTCTCTGTGGTTTTTTGGAGCCTGTCCTGGAACTAGCTCTTGCAGACCAGGCTGGTCTCGAACTCACAGAGATCCGCCTGCCTCTGCCTCCCAAGTGCTGGGATTAAAGGCGTGCACCACCACCACCCGGCAAAAGACAGGGTCTTATTATGTAGCTTTGGTGGCCTGGAATTCACTATGTACAAAAGGCTAGCTTCAAATTTGCAGAAATTTGCTTTCTCTGTCTCTTGAAGGTATGAAACAACACACTTGGCACAATAAAACATGGGATATTATAACTTACTAGTATGGGTTCTGTTTTGAAGTCCTGAATAACACTATGAAAGTAATAGTTAATTTTCAGTATTTTCAGCTTCTTAAAATGTTATCATTCTTTTGCTTTTAGCAGCCCTTTCTCCTCATTCTGTCCTCTTTGACTCTCATGAATATGGTTCACTTTTGTATTTTGATGGTGTTTGAATCTCGTATCTGCTTTTTTTGTTTCTTCATTCTCAGGAAAGTGCATCCAACCTAATAACCACTTGTGCCCTTATGAACCACAAATTTACATTTCCAGTGAGACTGTATTACTCTAATCCAAGCTCTTTTGTCTGTCTAGTGTACAATTCCATATAGGGGTATATTAGGTATTTCACCCATAGTGTGCCCTAAACTACTCTCCATTCCTCTGTTCTTGATCTGCTTCTCCCTCTGGCTTCCACATTTCAACAAATAGTGCCAGTATTTACCATGTTGCTTAGGTGTTGGTTCCTGATTTGTCTCTTCTTTGTAGTTCTTAATCTGTTAGCCCACTTAACTTCCTATCCTTTTGATTTGATCTGCTGTTTTGGTTGAATCTATTCCCTATTTTTTTACTTGCTTTCTTCTCATTACCTTTTCATAATGTAGTTTAGTTTTAAAAATTATTGTCAAATTAAGTTAGAGCTGTTCTTCACTAAGTTTAATGGCTACTATATTTAAATATGACATTTTAGTTGTATTTAGCATTTCAGGTCCTATCTGTTTCTGTAAGGCATGGTCTAACCCTGGTGGTCTGTCTTCAGATTCATCTCCCACTGTTTTTGAATGCACCCTATGCAGTTTTTGTCTTAGTTCTTTTGAATTTTTGTGTTGTCTGTCATATTAGTTGCCCTTTGAAAGACCTCTCTGTAACCGCCCAGCGGGTTGGGGGCAGGGGCGTGGGATCTTGCTGGGGTGTGGGATCTTGCTGGCAACGGTCACGGTCACGAGTCCTTGGTCAGGGGATCACACCTAGTTCTCTATGCAATCCTTTTGTGATTCCAACCACAAACAGTTCTCTAGTTAGTTGGAATGTGGGGCGGGTTCTGCTAACAGATAGCTCTCAAGATAGTTGGGTGTGGGGTCCTCCAGCTTCAGCTTTCTGAGTGTTAGGATTACAGATAAGTGTACTGTTTTTGCCTCTTAGGCTTGTTCCTTATGATTAGGATTTTTTTCCTTACATGTTTGTAGTTCCAAGTGTATAAATCTTGTATTACTTGCATAAATTTACATGCAGCTATTTATTTGTTGGCTGTTGTGATTGGGAGTATTTTCTAGTTTTTCAAATAGCTCTTTATTTTAGCATACAGAAACACTATTTATATGTTTTTTTATGTTTTGTAACTTGACAGAATATTTTTCAGTTTTAACAATTTTAATGGAGCCTTCAGAGTTTTGAATATAGATAATAGTTTTGTCATCAGCAAATAAAAGTAATTTTGCTTCTCTTAAAATGTTTTTTATTTATTTCTGTGTCAGGTTTGGTTAGCTTAGAATTTCTGTCATCATGTTAAAAAGAAATAGTGATAGTAAATGTTCATTATTTTATTATTTATTTCTCTTCATTCTAGGAAACTTGCTTGTACTTTGTCAACTTTGTCTCCCAGAGATTTATATAGTGGTATATTTTATTTGTGTTTTAATAAATACAGCTTGCTTGAAGATCAGAGGGCAAAGCAGCCATACTAGTCAGCCATACAGGCCAGAGAGTGGTGGCACACACCTTTAATTCCAGGATTTGGGAGACTGAGGCAGATTTCTGTGAGTTCAAGGCCATCCTGGGCTACTTGAGATCAAGTCTGTCTAAAAGAGAAACTTAGCCCACATGGAGGTGATCCCAGCATTTAGGATCACATACCTTTAATCCCAGCTCTTGGGAGGTGGAGACAGGAGTGATGTGATCAAGCAGAGAGAGGAATATAAAGGGGAAGGGACAGGAACTCAGTGGAATGGGGAGTAAGGTTGGAGAGCATTGCAGGATCACCCTTTGTTTGTCTGAGCCTTGGCAGGGGTAAGATCTCTTTAGTGGCTTGGCTGCTTTGCTTTTTCGATCTTCAGCTTGAACCACAGTATCCGTTGGATTTTTATTATTTGTGCTACATATTAATTGATTGAGTGATTGATTAATTGACTTGTTTACCCCCCCCCCCCCCCCCGTGTCTGTTTAGCTTTGTATAGCCTAGAATCTTCTCTGTAAATCAGGCTGGCCTTAAACTCACAGAGATCCACCTGCCTCTGCCTCCTGAATGCTGAGATTAAAGACATAGACATGCACCTTCACTACCCGGCTACCAGAGATACTTTTAAGGAATTTGAGCTCTGATTTGGGGGGGTGGGGGGGGGGTTGTGGTGAGGTCTTTATCCATTAATTTCTGTTTTTTTAATCTCTAATCTCTTTTCTTTTAAACATTTTTTAAAAATTTTATGCATGTGAGTGTTTTGTGTGCATGTATGTATGTATGCTGTTTGTGTACCATGGATGGTTGTGAGCTTCTATGTGGGTGCTGGCAACTAAACTTAAGTTCCTTGAAAAGAACAATCAGTGCTCTTAACCACGGAACCCTTTCTCTAGCTCCTACTCTTCTTTTAATGTTCTGTCAGTGTACTCACTTAAATTCAAACAACCTCTTTTGTAGAAAACTTAAATTACTAACACTTAACTTTTGATTTCTCTAAGTTTGTAACTGCCTTTTGGTTAGGATTTTAGCTTCATCTTACAAAACTTTTATTGTGTTTTACTATCAGTGTACTTTATAAACTATTTGCATTTTGACTAAAGGAGACCATCTGTATGCTATTGATCATTTCTAATACATTAGGATTTGCAGTGTAATATATTAACTTTTTTTGGAATATTTTCTTTCATTATTAAAAAGTATGTGTGTAGCCAAACATGGTGCAATGTACCTTTAATCCTCAGACCAGGAAGCTGAGTCTGCATAGTGAGTTCAGGTACCCATGGCTACCCTCTGCCTTACACACAATAGTGTGCGTGTGGTGGTTACATGCATCCATGCATGCGTATTTATTATAAGAAATATGTTGTGGAGAAGCAGTCTTTTTTGTCTCCTGTAGGGTCTCTTTTATTAAGTATTAGTGGTTTCTCTTTAAATTTAATAGACTAATTTTGAGAACAGTGCTTTCATTGGAAATTTGAGCAGATAATTCAGAATGTTCCTGTTTCTACATTCTTGCTTGTCTGCAGTAGTTTAGTATTGTGCAGTAGTATGGTCTGTTTGTTGTAGTTAATATATAAGTAATTTTACATTTTTTAAACTGAAGTTTTTAGTTCACATTATGATCTTGATGAGATAGTTTATTGGCCTTCACAGATGTTTAATGTCATGTGTTTGGTATAACATCTTCATAAAAATTAACCTCTCAGTCTTAAAGTCTTTATTTCTTTCTGTTTATCCAGCTAATCTCCCAATACATTAACAACACAAAAATTTACTAATTTTTTTCTCTGATTTTTCTTCATATATATTATGGTGTAGTATATATAACATGCATAAAAGATGTTTTTAACAACTAAATAAATGTTGTTAGCATAGGCTTTATAGAGCCCAAATATGTGGTTGTTAGATTTAATACTTAGGTTTTCTTTTGAGATGAATATTTAGATTTAATACTTAGGTTTTATTTTGAGATGGCCAAGTGAATAAAGTGCTTGCCATGCAAGCATGAGGACCTGAGTGTGAATCAGGAACCCACATAAGGCTGGATGTTGTAGCACACCATTCTATAATCCCAGTGCTCCTATGGGAGATAGAGATAGGAATATCTCTGGCAGCTGGCTGATAGTTAACTGGTATACACATTAAGACCCTATCTCAAACAAGGTTGAAGGCTAAGAACAAACAGTACCTTAGATTGTCCTCTCGCTCTCACATGCATCATATGTCATGCTCATGCTACTATTCTCATGAGAATGCACGTGTATGCATACATCTAAACCCACAAAAATTTTTGTAAAAGGTGATGCTGGGTTTGGGCGTAGTTTAGTGCTAGAACACTTGTTTATCTTGTGTGTAAAACTCTGGGTTTGATCCTCATTACTGCAATAATAAATAAATGATTAAAACTACCCGAAAGAGTCTAGAAAAGGTGGCTTGGTGATTAAAATTCCTTGCTGCTCTTTCAGAGGATTCAACTTCAGTTCCTAATACAATGTTGGGAGGTTTTACAACTGCTTATAACTCCAGCTCCAGGAGACTCAGTTCCCTTTTCTGACATCCATGGGACCCTGCATACACATTATAGATGTGAACCAAAAGCTAATCTTGAGAGAAATCATACTATAGAAAAGTAGAATTGCAAATATATAATTGCTATTTATTTCAGTTGTTTTCATGGTATAATCACAATGTAGATTATGAATATATAGTTAAAATTTACCTTAAAATATAATTAAGGTCATTGCATAAATCTACTTTTCATTTCTTGCCAGTGAACAACTCTGTGCTTTTTGTTATTGTGGGGAGAAAAGTTCCTTAGGACAAGGAGACTTAAAACAATTCAGAGTAACACCTGGACTTATCTTACCCTGGAAAGATCAACTTTGTAACAAGAGCATCGATGACAACAGCAGCGAGACCTGTGAGAAAATACAGAACTCAGCTCCACAAAAGCAAAGAGGAAAGAGAAAGTAAGAAATTTTGAATTTAAATTGTTGAAGGAGAAATGACCTCTAGCTTATTTACTTTTGATCTTTTCAATTTACAGTTGAGATTGTTGCTGTTGAACAGTTTTGTATTTTACACATTGTATTTACACTGTCTCATTTACCACTAACACAGCAAACAGTGGCTTTCTAAATTTATTTTACATGTTAGGAAAATTGATGTGGTGACACAAGTTAACCTGGAAGAAAAAATGTAACAAAGGTCATATAAACCAGAAGGGTGCTCAAGGGATTTACACACGGGAGGAAGATAGAACATACTAAAGTAATTCTTCCCTTCTTTCTACCAGCTTATGTTTGTAAGAGTGCAGTATTGTACCCCAACCAGAATTTTTGGCACTTCATGTCTTGTCATTCTCAGTTTAGGAGTGTATATGCTTTGGAGACTATTTAGCTTATAACCTCTCATTATATTTATGTCACCTCCCTCTTTGCCTTTCCTTCTTTTCCACCCCTGTCATAGAAGATACTATTTTAAAAGAAGTATGCATAGCCATTTTTACATCTTTTTCATAGGCACATAAACACATTATAGTTATCTAAAACTCTTGTGGAATGTACTTTTAATTTTTTTCAGTTGTGTATTAAGGTCATTTTAATATGTGGACTTGATAGTCAAGGGAATAGAAAGTTTCTGTAATTGATGGAAAAAATATGTTAAAATTAATTTGACTTCAGAAGGGTGGTGGTGGCGCACGCCTTTAATCCCAACGTTTGGGAGGCGGATCTCTGTGCATTTGAGGACAGGCTCTAAAGCTACAGCGAAACCTTGTCCTGAAAAACCAAATAAATAAATAAAAATTAATTAATTAATTAATTAATTGCCTTGAGAACGTGGAGAGATGTCTCAGTAGTTAAAAGCTTTTGTTGCTCTTGTGGAAGACCAGACTTTGGTTCTCTATATTTAGGTTAAATGGCTCACTGCCACCAATAAGGACCTCCAGGGCATACTGCTCCCTCTTTTAGCTTTCGAGGCACCCTCACACATACACTGGTACACACACACACACACACACACACACCTTTAAAAATTAATTTTGGGGCTGGGGAAATAGCTCACTTGTTAAGAACACCTACTGCTGACTTAAATAGCACCCAGATTCTATTCCCAGCACCCATGTGGCAGCTTGCAACTTCAGTTTAAGGAGATTAGGTGCCCTAGATTATTAGGGGGAAGTTTTAATGGAGATTACCTTATTTTCTATATTTAATGTTGAACACAAGCATTGTCTTTATTTACCAAATGATTTTAAGTTATAGCTAAACCATGCCAGACCACAAGTCTTCATGTGATAAAACACTCAGTTCAACATTCTTCTTTACTTTTATCTCTTATGCTCTCTTTCTTACTCTCTATGCCTTTAATGTCTACTTTGCTTTTAGTTTGTAAGGTACAGTCCTGAGATTACTTCAGCATCACTTACAGACCAGCTGCTGGTCATCAGAAAGCTAAGCTCACGTGTTCACGTCCTTTCCCCCCCTTTCACACTCAAATGGGCTTTCTTTTTCCCTGGAAAATAGTTCATTTGCAAATAAAGTTATCTGCCAGCTTTGTATTAAGATAATGCATGCTAAAAGTTTCTCATGTTTTATAAGTAAGACCTTTCATTGTATTTTTAAAAAACATGGTTCCTGGATAGAATGAGTTACTTTTAAAACTTATATTAAGGAATGGAAAAAATGAATTTATAACTGTAACGGTCATTTCTTATGATTGGGAGAATTTTTTTTAAAAAAAGATTTATTTATTATGTATACAACATTCTGCCTACATGTATGCCCGCACGCAAGAAGAGGGCACCAGATCTCATTACAGATGGGAGCCACCATGTGGTTGTTGGGAATCGAACTCAGGACCTCTGGAAGAGCAACCAGTGCTTTTAACCACTGAGCCATCTCTCCAGCCCCGGGAGAGATTTTCTTAATCGTTGCTTACATGAAGTAGTGTAATACCACCTTTAATATTGTGAATAATAAGAACAGACCAATTTTTGAAAATTTGTCACTGTAAACTGATAATTAAAGCTATTTGACATACTTTGTACTTACTGTTATAAAATGAAATGATTTTTCCAGTAATTTTTCACAGCTTTTACTTAATTTTCTTTTCAGAGAACGATCTCCCCAGCAGAATGTAGTTTCTTGTGTAAGTGTAAGCACCCAGACATCTTCTGAGGACCAGGCTGGCAAGTTATGGGATGAACTCAGTCTGGTTGGCCTTCCAGATGCCCTTGATGTCCAAGCTTTATTTGATTCTACAGGTAGGGGGCTTCTCTGCTGTTGCAGCTTCCACTTGTTTCTAGAAGCATTTATATTTTGGTGCTTACTCAATAGTAAATTCTACAAATAAATAAGATCATATTACAAAAAAATGTCATAATTAAGTTTGCTTGAATATGCATTTGATTTTCATAGGTATTTGACAGTTGCAAGAGAAAACTTCAAAGAACTATGTGAAACTTAGGGAACATTTAGGCTAGGTCTTTTGCCAGTGAAAGTGAAGTGTAAGTCTTTGCCTCCAGTGGTTTACTTACTGTAGTAGTATGATGATCCACAGGATATGGTGCTGTTGGAAATTTTAGTCAATCTCTTTCTTGTTGCAGTTCACCTGATGGCTGATGGTTAGGCCAAATGCTGTAGATGAGTGTTCTTGCATGCAATTGAGAGGAGTAGAAGTATAGATGCTGTTAAATTTTCATGCACTCTTATCATCAACTTCATATTATTTTATATAAAGATACTAAATAAAACAGTGTTTAAATAAAATGACTTAGTGAATTTTGCTTGTGGAAAAAATAATTACTAATTCAATAATTCCAAAATTTCTATATACATCAGTATCATCTGGAAGACTTGTTAAACTGTAGCACAAAACCTATTGATTTTGTGAATCTCAATTATGTGCTCGAATTTTCATCACTGAAAAGTTCTCAAATAAGTACTCTTGAGTTCCAAGTCACAGTCTGGGCCAGTTTGAGAAAGGCTACTTTGATAGAGTTACATAAAGATACACTTCATATTTACACATTTTGATTTGTTTGTTTAATTTTTTGAGATAATTCTTACTCTGTAGCCCTCATTATCCTGAACTCACACAACTCTAAGCCCTGGCTGGCCTCGAGTAGATCCTCTTACCTCAGCCTCCTTAGTACTGAGATTACTGCCATGTGCTACCATACCCAAATTGCAGCAATACCTTCAGTGTTTATTATTTTGTTCCTTTTTCTATTTTAGGCACTTGCTGGGCTCATCATCGATGTGTGGAGTGGTCACTGGGAATATGCCAAATGGAAGAACCATTATTAGTGAATGTGGACAAAGCTGTTGTCTCAGGGAGCACAGAAGTGAGTAGAAGAAACAAATCTTTAAGCCACTTTTTTTTGTTTGTTCTGGTTTTGTTTTGTTTTTGATAGCTTAATATATAATGGAAGATAATCTTGAACATCAGATCCTGTGGCTTTTCCTCTTTGGTATTTATATGGTACTATGGATAGAATCCAGGGCTTCATACATCCTAGGCCTGTCCTACAATCATCTAACATTTATCCAAAGATAAAATTTCATTGAGAAGAATTATTTATTAAGTGTGTAGTATAACTCAAAGCACAGAATTGGTAACTACACCAAGGGTAGTTTGTATAAGTTTTTTCAGTTAACTTAAAACTTCACATTTAAATAAAAAAATGATCCATTTTAGAAATAGGAATTACTAACTACATTTTTTGTGTCCATATAACTATTTGTTTGTTTATGTACTTAATTAGAGACTGTCTTTTTCTAGGTAGTCCTGGGTGGAACTCACGTAGACCAAGATGGTCTTGAACTCATCGAGTTCCCCTGCCTCTGCCTCCAAGTATCGGGATTAAAGCTGTGTGCCTCTGTGCCTTGCTTCATGCAGTGACGTCTGTCTGTCTGTCTGTCTGTCTGTCTGTCTGTCTATCTCTCTATCTATCATCTACCCACCCGTCCATCCATCTGTCCATCCATCTGTTTTTGAGACACAGTTACTCTGTGTAGCTCTGGTTGCCCTGAAACTACCCTGCAGACCAGGCTGGTCTAAAACTTAGAGATCCACCTCTTTATGCATCCTAAATGCTGGCATTAAAGGTGTGTTTACACTGCCAGGTACATGTAGTGACTTTTAAAGACCACCTTTTTGATAGTTTTAAAATAAGACCCTGACTTTAGTCCACAATATGGAAGAACTATGTTCAGCTCTTCAAATGCTGATGAAAATATTCTTTTTCATTCCATTTGTCAGTTCATTTAATCTTTTTTGGCAATATTTAAAGTAATATGCACACACCCTGTTTTTTTTTTTTTTAGAGCTTTACCTATTATTGAATGATCTCAAGAATAAATGCAACAGCTACCTTCCATTTGTGAAGGCAGCAAATCCCGAAGCTATCCTTCTTGTCAACTCTAAATTCGTTTTGCTTTTGCATGAATAAATGTAGGAGAAGTGACATAGCTTTTTGAAAACAACATGAAAGCTAGAAATTTTGACTATAGAACTGTATGTGCTTTAATAAATAGTGTTCAGAAGTATAGCTGAGGAAAAGACTTATGGTCCCATTTGCTTTACTCATATTGTCCAGACCTAATTCATATAAATGATTGTTAATTTAAGAATAGTCTGGAGACACAGACTTATAGTTCCATTTACTCAGGAGGCTTAGGTAGGAAGATTGCAAATCCAGGCCCAATTTGACTTCATAGTGAATTCAAAGCCAGTTTGGTAATCAACTTAGTGTGGTCTTATCTCAGAATTAAAAGTGAAAGGGGTCTGGAGTTTTATAGTTCAGTTGCAATATGCTTCGCTAGTATATGAAAGGTCCTGCCTTCTACCCTCAGTATCTCTTGACACTCTTCACCCACCAACCCAGAGTGCTGGTTCTAGAAAGTTTATGTTACATTAGTTTACTGCATAATAGTACATTGCTTAGTGTGAACATACTTGGATAGCTAGATTATGATTGTGATGGATAAGTCAGCACCATTTCTTTTGTTAAGATTTTAATTTTGGTTTATTTCATAACATTGAACGAATTATAAGGAAGGCAATGACAAAAGGCTGAGATGACCTGCTATTGTGTTAGGGCCAGTGGCATCAGTAAAACTCATAGGGATATTTAAGTTTTATTACATTTACTCAGTTACATAGTTTGTTCATGAATTGGTGGTTAGAGGACCACTTGGAGTTATTTCTCTCCTTCCACTGTGTGTCCGAAGAATGGAACTCAGGCCATAAGGCTTGACAGACAACAAGCACCTAAACCTACTGAACCAATTCACGGGCCCTCATGATGTTTATAATGACAATGTATAATGATAATGTATAGGTATGCATAAGTTTGTATGCAATAAAAAAGATTCCGTTTTTCTTAGACGGTAGTTAAAACTCGCTTTACCCTATTTGGATGGAAAGTATACCATGTATGTTGTTCTTTAAATGATTATTGATTAATATTTTTGAGATCAGTGTTATGCCCTGTTTTCATCGAGGGGATGGGGTAAGAGGATTCATATTTTTTTGAGACCTGCATTCTTTCTTTTGTTATCTTAAGTGTTAATCCTGAGTGGTTTTGGCCAAACATGATGAAAAGCTTACAAAATACTTAGGTGGTGAGGTGGTCATTGAGGAGCCATTCCCAGTGATGTCAAACCTTTACTATTAGATTCAGTCATTCAAAACTTAAAGTAGTGTCGGAGTGTTATTGCTGTTTGTATTGTTCCCTGAAGTGTTCCATAGAACACGGTGTTCATTTATTCTAAGTTATAGTGGGATATAAGTATACTAAGGTTTATACAAAGGATCTTTGTAACTTTGCATAGTAAAGATAATGCCCAGGATACTTTACTTTGTCTGTAATTATCAGAAACAAGTTCTTTAATTCTGAAACAAGCTCTATTTGAATCTATCATCTATGACCAATTTCTTTTTTTAAAAATTGCATATTTACTTTCTGTACCTCTGTGTGTGTGCTTGTATGAAAGTGTATGTGTAAAGGTGTGCAATTACCTTGTACAGTTGGCAGTCTGAGGACTAGCTGAGGGAGTTGTTTTCTTCTTCCACCATGTGTGTAACAGCAATTGAATTCCATTTACTTTCTTGACAGCAGACACCCTTACCTCCTGAGCTATCTTAGCAACTTCTCTACTACCAATTCTTAGTGACTACCCTTGACTTAAGCCCTATAAAAAGTAAGGATTTAAAAAATATTACATTTATTTTGCTTGTGGGTGTGCCCGAGACATACAGCATGCCTGAGAAAGTTAGAGGACAATTTGTGTGAGAAGGTTCCCTTTCTCTACCTCTTTGGCCTGGGAATTGAACTCAAGTCATCAAGCTTGGTGAAGGAGCCTTTCCTTGCCGAGCTATTTAATAGATGACTGGCCCAATTAAAAATTATTTTAGCTTATTAATATTTTAAAGAAATGTGTTGCTGGGGAGTGGTGGCGCACACCTAAAGGTGTGCACTCGGGAGGCAGAGGCAGGTGGATCTTTGTGAGTTCGAGGCCAGCCTGGTCTACAAGAGCTAGTTCCAGGACAGGCTCCAAAGCTACAGAGAAACCCTGTCTTGAAAAACAAACAAAACCCAAAAATACAAAAACAAAAATTAAGAGATTGAAATTCTGAATGCTGAAAAGGGATTTGGGATTTAGGCCATTTTAGGAGTTGGAAAGACGAAGAGTTTCAGGCCTCTTATATACTATAAGACTTAAATATTTAAAATTACATTTATCTATTTGTGCATGTATGCATGTATATATTATTTGCACTCGTGTGTGTGTGTGTGTGTGTGTGTGTGTGTGTGTGTGTTTGTGTTCACTAAAAAGTGTGTGGTGGAGCCCAGAGGATTAAACTCAATGCTTTGTAGAAATGCTTTTACTGCTTAGCTATCATCCTCTCACCCATGACCGAGACTTTTATTTGGGGACTCTGAGGTCAACACCTGATAGCTTCTTTTTAAATTCTGTACTTTGGTTAATTAGCCACTGGTATTTACATTTTAAATAATTAAGGAAAATGAGTAATATTTCATAATAGGAAAATTCTATGAAATTCAATTAGAGTCTAAAACATTTTGTGGTATTTGCGTAGCATTATGGAATATTTTATTTACTTGTTTATTTTTTTATCATCACTTTTTAAGTCACAAAACACATTATACTTACTATGCTGTGACATTTATTATTTTTAAAGGATATTATTATACTTCCCAGACTGACTTAAACTGGGTATGTACAATAGGAATATCTTGAACTTCTGATCCTCCTGCTGTCACCTAGAGTGTTGGTACTAAAAGTGTGGCTTAGCACATGCTTGGCTAATGCAGTGCTAACCATCTAACTCAGGACCTTGTACATGTGGGAGAGCACTATAATAACTCTTGAGCTACGACCAGCACTATACGCTTCTTTTGTGTACTAAAATTCCTGAATGTAGTTATCAGTTTTAACAAATTTTTGATTGGTGCGTTTAGGTTTTCTTACTTAAAATCATCTCATCTATATGCATAGATTTGAGTTCTTCCTTTTTAGTTTCTTTCTCTTTTTGGATTGCTCTTGCTAAAATTTTGGCCATATTAGATAGGCATCCTCTTTTTTTTATTTATTTATTTTTTTATTTTGGTTTTTTTTTGAGACAGGTTTTTTTTGTGTAGCCCTGACTGTGCTGGAACTCACTTTGTAGACCAGGCTGACCTCGAACTCACAGTCACCTGCCTCTCGTCTCCTGAGTGCTGGGATTAAAGGTATGCGCCACCACTGCCCCGGAGATATCCTTTTCTTGTTTCAAAGTGTACAAGAAATGGTTTTCTGCTCTTCTCCATTCAGTATATCAGTGACTGATTTTCAAGCCTAACTTTTGGTGTTTTCTTTTTTGAGACATGCTTTCTAGCTGTATTCTTTAGAATCTGAGACCAGGTTGGCCTTGAACTCAGATTTCTACTCCCCACCCCCCACCCCAGTACACCACCATAACCACCAAAGTGAGGCATGTTCTCTGTCTCTGTGTCCTGACTCTGACTTCTCCAGGCCTGTACACGCCCTCTCTAATAAACTAATAAGCAAAGCGGGGTGTGTGTGTGTGTGTGTGTGTGTGTGTGTGTGTGTGCGCGTGTGTGCGCGCGCCTGTGAAGTAGTGAGTTCCCCACCACCAGAAACATTCAAAGAAGAGGATGATGAATTGTGCTCTGGAAGAGGTGTCTGTACTGTGTGTCCCCCCCCCCCCCCAGCTTTTTTTGTCTTTAAAATGAACCCACTGTTTCATTGGTTTTATGTGTATTTTTATTTACTTATTTTCCGGTCTTTGTAACAATTTCTACTTTTCATTTGTTTT